GAAAGTGTGATTGTGGCACAAATAGGAAGGCCCAAGCAAGGCTTAATCCCAATGACAGGTAATGCTAGCAGCAAAGTAAGTAGCAGCCACGTGGACTTCAGCATGGGCTGCACTACCGTGTTGGGGTTAGGGAGAGGAAAAATGCTTCTTGGAGGCCTGTGCAGCACCTTGGTGACATCCTTTCAAAGCCCTTTGCAAAGGGAATGGCCAAGAGTTATAGTCAGCTTTCCTGGGTCCCACAGAGGATGCCCAAAGCAGGTGGCAACGGATGTGGATTAGAGAGAAAAAGTATGTAAGATTGGCTAAAGGACCTGAGCACAAGCTACATCTTTTTGGAGCTGACGTATTGCTTTCTGCGTAATTAGTGGGATGAGGACTCGAGACCAGTCTGGTTTGCTTTGCCAGGGGTTTCAACCTTTTTTTGTCTAAGTACCCCCAGAGGCCGGATACCGAGCAGTGTGGGGAGCTCACCGGGCTGGCGTGCGGCGGCAGTGACTGCCACGTGCGAGCTTCCCCACCCTGCAGAGGTGAGCCATTGCTCTCGCCCCACTCTGGCCCTGCTCCTGGGAGGCGGCAGCGGCACTCCATCCCCACCCACCCACACGTACCCCATAGGACTGGTCCAAGTACCCCCAAGGGTATGCGTACCCCCGGGTGACAACCCCGTGCTATGTGGTTAGTAAAAAAGCAGGGCAGTTCCTACTGGGAAGGGGTGGAGGAAAGCCCAAAGGAGCAAGTCACTTGGCTCCAGCAGCAGCGCGTGGTGATACACTCCCTGAAATGTGCTAGAGGAAGCATTCATAAAGCATCTGGGTCTGGACAGGCTGATGAAAGCCTGAAGTGGCTTGTTCCTGGCAGGCACACAAGTGCACTTTCTAATGAAATTTACAGCATTCTAATGGAATTTAAGTCACTTAGAAGCATTCGGTTTATTCCAGGCAGCTTTTAAAATATTTAAGAAATTGCTGTCAAGTTAAGCTGGATGGCATCTCACTGGAATGCCCAGCTTGCAAGCTCAGCAGATTTCAGAGCCCGAGTTTAAAAGAAAACCAACAAAACACTAAACATTTTCTGTCCTTTGCACCTAGCACCTCACTCAGGCAAATACCACTGGCCTCTTTCTATTAGCCCAAATGAAGCCAGTATCTGGACCCCATGATCTGTAAGATCCCTTCCAGCCCCTAGCATCTGTGAAAGATTTTCCCAGGGCAGCCGGCTTTCTTCACGCCACAAAAAAGACTTTCATTTGGGACCAGAGACATGAGAGAGTCTCACTAATGTGCTGAAGTTGCACTGCATGCTTGGAGAACTATAACCCATGGAGTTTGTTACAGCATCTTGGTTTTGCTGCTGAAAGACAATACTGCTACACAAGCCCTGGAGTCTGAACGCAGCTCTCAAGGGAGTTGCTAAATGCACCCTCTGAGTGGAAGTTGATCCTTAATTAAAGGTTAAACTATATTGCAGTGATACTGTGGAACAGGGGTTGACTGTCTAGGTCTCTAGGGCACAGACAAGAGACTGTGTTGCAAGCAGAGGTCAAAAAGTGCTTTTTGCCTCCCAAGAATATAGCCCCCTTTACTGGCCTCTTCACCTGTCTGCTGAATGGCCTTTGTGTTGTTTTGGGACTGAGCAGACTTTCCTGAAAACTCTGATACTTTCTGCTGCATATGCAGCCAAGGATTCATTCCATCTGTGTCTTGGGGATACAAGTCCCTGCAATGGGTTGGAGCTGATCCTTAGCCTAGATTTCACTGGACTGCAGATGTGTGCATTTTATTTGGCTACACATTTTTAAGGCAAAGTAAGTGCTGTCAATCCTGGTTACTGGCAGGAAAAGCCTTTTTAATTTTATTGAAGTCAATGCAAAAACAGCTGGAAGCACAGAACTCTGCTGCTGGTTGGTTACAGGCATAGCTAGGTTGGTCCGAGAACAAAAGCAGCTCTAAAGCAAAGTGGATTCATCAGTGGTTTACAGAAGCCCCAGTTCTTGCTGCTGATGCTCATCAGGTGCTGATCCCTTTTGACCAGCCCTTCCCTCTCCTCCAAGGTGCCCCACTGCTGTTTGATCTTGATCTTAGCATGCATGGAGTTTGTGTAATCAATGAACTGGGGAGAGGGAGAGCAACTGTCCTTTCAGTTCCCACTAGCACAGGGTGAGATGGGCCCTGAACTTTGTTCCTCCTGCAAGATGGGCCAGTCCTGCCTCATCCCATCATTTTCATTGTTATAAAAGATACTGGAGCACTGGACAAGTCTGAAACTTGTGTCTTAAGATTTAAATAAAGGCCCATTTCTGCAGTCCCATGAACAAATACATGTGTGTCAGCCCCATGGTTTTGCATGCATACAAGATCCCTATGACAGCACATATGTGTAAGATGGTTTTGGATGTGTGTACACAAGTGCCTTCCATGGCCACGTGTGTGCAGGTCTGCAAGTATACTCATTTCTCAAAGGTGAAGGGCTGATCATCTCAGAATCTTATTTTTTAAAGCTCTGACAAACCAGACCTTCACCAGGGGAATGCTCCTTGCAGCTATAATTATGATGCCCAGAAAGCAGTTGGTTCTCTCTAGGGTGATTAATCATTATGTGGGCGAGCAGGAGGAGAGTACGTTGGTAACACTAGAGAAAACTCACTCCCCGCAACTGATGGTGAAATCTCACCAAGGAAGTCCCAAGAGACTGCCTCAGCACATTGCTGAGAGTCATTTTTTAACAACTTTCCTAAGCCCAAAGTCTAACCCAAATCCCTTTGTTTCACCAGATACATTAGCCCAGCACCTAGATGCAGTGACACATCTCTGGCCACCCAGGCTGCTGCTCATTGTTAGCATCACCAGTGGCAGAGGAGGCTACAGAAAGACTCCTGTTTGTTGGTAGAGCTAATAGGTAGAGGGAAATGGGGAAATGTAATAGAAAACTTTGAGGGGTTTGTGTGAAGGTATCTTTGATACCCAAGTTTTCAGAACTGTTCTCTCCCTTAGGAGACCCCAGGAAGGACCTATTTGTACCTCTTACTGCCCTGCCTACAGGGCATTTCTCTCCACTCCCTCTCAGGCACTAAGACTATACAACAGTCAGGAGGTGCAAGTACAACCTGAGGAGGACATACCTGAACTCACTCCAGCAGCAGCAGCAGCCCATCAGGTAACCTGAGTACCAGACACACAAAGCCCAAGCCTCTGAGTCCTCACTACTAAAGTCACACCTCATGGTTGTACCCATGGGTGGTGCTCTTTGGCAAAGCCTTTTGGAGAGCAACTGGTCCGGAACTGAAATCAGATCAGTTTACAGGTGAGACCGGTGGGGCAGGATTCTGCTCAGCCACTCCAGGCTAAGTTGGTCATTTCTCTATTTGAAAAACAGAAATGGTTTGTCTGGATCAGAGGCAAGGACTGGTTAGCTAAGTTGCTCAGAAACTTTGGGAATAATATGCTGGAGTTGGAGAAAAATCTACCCTGGTGTGAGTAGAATCAACTCTAGCATCTTTATGATTTTGTCTTCAGTGAATTTATTCAAGATTTTGCTGCCTCTCAGGTACTGTCACTCTGTCTTCTTGCCACCCTGAGAGTATCCAACTCAAGTTACTGCAGGCATAATTGATTGGAAGGTGAATAACACTGCTGGGAAAAGCACAGCGGCTCACTAAAGTAGGGTGGGAAGGTTGGAGCACAAGTCAGCAAAAAGCTGAACCCCTTTCCCTGGCTCCAGAACTGGGACTGGGAGCTTTTTGCTCCATCAAATTAATGGAGAAAATCTCAAACATGGAACATTCACATTCAAATCCAGGAAAGGCAATTTACTTGTCTTCCCACACAACAACAGTTCTTTAAACAGGGATAGGCAGAGGGAGGGAAAGCTGACACCAAGCAGCTGCTTTGCTGTATACTTTACTTAAGTCAGGGCCACAGCCCAAATCCCCATGCTCTCCATTCCTGTGCAAATCAAAGGAGTAGGTATATAGTTCCTCTTCCTCCAATGCAAAGTTAAACAGTTTTCATAACATGGCAAAGGATTTTCACAATCACTAACATGCAACCGGATTCCAGTCTCAGCTCTCTTAAGGGTCAAAATATGCTCTGCTCTTAGTCACACAGCCCAGCTTTGATGACTGACTCCATAAATGCTCCAGCTGTTGGGGCTGTACAAGGCAGTCACCATCTTGCTGAACTTTCCATCGAAGTTTGAAAGATGAAGAAGGAGCAAAAGGATATAGTGTCACAACACTAGTCAGTATGATAAGCAGTGCCCACAAGCTGCCTGACCATTGTGAAAAGTTTTGGAGGCTTCCTTGCAGAGAAATGCTTGGAGAAAGACAGTAAGAGTGTCTTGCAGACACTGATGGTAGCACCTACCATGCACAAGGGGGAGGATGGGGGCACTGGAAGATTGCAGGTGCTTGAAATGGAGGAAAACAACAAATCTTTTCAGTTGCTCCTTTATCCGTGCTCCCTTGCTCATTGTTTGCCCAGCACACACCCCTCATCTCTCAGTCCTACCAGAAGCAGGCACCGCCTAATTGTTCAACCCCACCTACAGATGCTTGGCAGCTTAATCCAGCTTTATTTCTGGCAGGCTTGCCCTGATAATTTGAGGTGATGCTATGCTAAAATATGTAAGAGGCAAGAAATCTTCTGGGTGTTGTCTTTTTTTGGACCAACTGTATGGCTGGTATAGGTATAAGCAAGCGTTTGGGTATTAGAGAACCCTTTCTCAGACCTCAATAGTTTGACATATTTGTCACAGGTGAGGCAACACAATGGGCCAGGTTTTCAAATGCATCTGCCTCTTCCCAGACTTGAATGATTAACTTAGAACTTGAACACATCAATACCCATTTCACGTACAGAGGATGCAAGATCTCCTCCATTGGGCTAAGACCTGGAAACCAACTCTTTTCTGAGGCTCAGGCCTGAGGGTAATGGAGGCTATCTTAAACCTTTTTTCCATCATCGTTTCTTTGCTTTGACAGAACCAGACTGAGAGAGACTCACCCGTGACCAGTTGAGCTTCATTACTTCCCAGAAGACAATGAACATCCATTAGATCTTCCTTTCAGTCAGCAGGACCTCTGGGGAGTCAGCACACCAAGAGGAATGAACAGTTTCCTGGCATTAATAGAATAAAAGGACTTATTTCATTCACATCTTCTAGGAAATTACTGAGAACCTTCTTCCCCTTTGCCCTCCCCTATATTGTGGCTACAAGTCCCTCACGGCAGTAGCCTCACGCTACAAGAACCTCACGCCCCAGGATCCAACTCCCTGCCAACAACCCACACAGGGACATGGTCTTACGTGCTACAGCCTTGGCTAACAGAGCTGTGTCTTTTCATTGAAGCTCATGTTGAGACTCACAAGTCCCAGTTCAATCCCTGCTGGTGAGAGCTGTTCCAGGAGCCATGGTGGGACAGTAAAGGGCAAGACACCACTCAATCAAGAGTCCTTCACTGTGGTTCCCTGGAAATGAGTGCACTGAGTTCATTTTGCAGACAGAGTTCTTTTGCATGCTAATGCAGTGTATTTCTAGGCCAGTCCTCAATGACCCGGGGGTCCTGATTGCCATCAGTCAAGACAGAGAACTTCAAGAGACAGCAGTCATGCACTGCAGAGCAATACATATAAACCCTCCAGTTGCAGAACATACAGAGGCATTTAAATGCCAAGGTGAAATCCTGACCCGACCCGGTTGACTGTTGTGGACACAGGCTTCAAGCTAGTGCTCATGCTCACCAGTCAAAGAGCTTGGAGAGTCAGGAATGGCTGGATGTTAACCCGACCTGCAACACTGCAAGAACTCGATTATTTAACCACTCTGCACCTTGGCTTCCCCATCTGTAAAGTGGGCATAACGCCAAGCTCCCTGGGGCGAAGTTGAGGCTCCATTAATGTTTGCTTCCAAAGCACCAAAGACAGAGAAAGCTGCTGTTTCATTCCCCGCCTCCCCACCCACATTCATCCATTTTCCCCTAGAACCTGGCAGCTCTGCACAGTTACAAGCAATACACCAAGCACTCCATTTATCTTGCCAGTGTGTGGGATGATTAGCAGGAGGTAGTAATTTCTTTCCTGTTTTAGTCGCACTCAGATTGCCTTGCCACTCACACTGGTACACCCTGTCTATTGAGCCAGAACACTGCACAAAAAATACATTAAAGCAGCTAACAAACATCTGCAGGGAGGTGTACAGAACACACACAGGCTAGAACAATTACAGGAGAGAGAATTTCTTGTTACAGTACTTGTAAAAAATTGAATTAGAGCAGAGATGAAACCACCCTTTCCAATCCACTGACAGCTCCGACATTTCAAAGAAAAATAAATCATTTTGAGTTGGGATGGAACACAAG